ACCCTGCTCCTCCGACACGCCCACCTCCACAGGCCTGTTCCTCTGACACGCCCACCCTGCTCCTCTGACACGCCCACCTCCACAGGCCTGTTCCTCTGACACGCCTACCCTGCTCCTCCGACACGCCCACCTCCACAGGCCTGTTCCTCTGACACGCCCACCCTGCTCCTCTGACACGTCCACCTCCACAGGCCTGTTCCTCTGACACGCCTACCCTGCTCCTCTGACACGCCCACCTCCACAGCCCTGTTCCTCTGACACGCTCACCCTGCTCCTCCGACACGCCCACCTCCACAGGCCTGTTCCTCTGACACGCCTACCCTGCTCCTCCGACACGCCCACCTCCACAGCCCTGTTCCTCTGACACGCTCACCCTGCTCCTCCGACACGCCCACCTCCACAGCCCTGTTCCTCTGGCACGCCCACCTCCACAGCCCTGCTCCTCCAACACGCCCACCTCCACAGCCCTGCTCCTCCGACACGCCCACCCTGCTCCTCAGACACGCCCACCTCCACAGCCCTGCTCCTCCGACACGCCCACCCTGCTCCTCCAACACGCCCACCTCCACAGCCCTGCTCCTCCGACACAACCACCCTGCTCCTCAGACACGCCCACCTCCACAGCCCTGTTCCTCTGACACGCCCACCCCTGCAGGCCTCCACCACTGACAGGCCCACCCCTGCAGGCCTGCACCACTGACAGGCCCACCCCTGCAGGCCTGCACCACTGACACGCCCACCCCTGCAGGCCTGCACCACTGACAGGCCCACCCCTGCAGGCCTGCACCACTGACACGCCCACCACTGCAGGCCTGCACCACTGACAGGCCCACCCCTGCAGGCCTGCACCACTGACAGGCCTGGCGCGAGCTCCTCACCGACCCCACTCGCTGGCCAACGCCCTCCTTCGATCCGGACCCACGCCTCGCCACTTGAAAAATCCTGGTCGCGGTGCCACAGGCCTCTGGGCTGTAGAGCGTCATTTCAAAAAAAAAATCCAAAGCAACTCCGCTGAAGCATCAGCGCCCGCCCCCCTGTTCGCGCGTGCAATGGGACAGCCACGCACACCAGCACGACCGTGCCGCACAGGACGCAGAGCCCGGAAAGCAAAGATTTTGGATGATTGAATATTCATTAGGCGAGGGCAGGCTGGGAGCAGATGGCAGAGAGGGTAACGAGGAGGGGGGAGGCAGCCGTGCTGCAGAAGACGAGCCCGGGCAGTGGGGGGCACGGCGATTTAATTTTCCCAAACGCGATTAGAGAGAGAAAATGGAGAACCACCCGGGTGCAGAGGGCTGCAGAAGAAAATGCTAATACCAAATGGGATTTCTTTTTTTTTTTTGCTTCCCGGCTAA